ACTCGCCGAGTCCCCACTTCTACAAAATCTTAAGACCCCAACTCTACTCGACGAGTTCTCCTTCAACCATAACATTAGGACCATCTTCAACCGACTCGCCGAGTTTATCCTTGAATTCGTCGAGTTCATCTTCTTCCGAATGAATGAGTCTAGTCTATGACTCGCTGAGTTCTCCTTGAACTCGTCGAGTCCGTCTTCATGAGGTTGGGATATTGCCTTGAACTCGTCGAGTTCTTCCTTGAACTCGTCGAGTCCTTCGATCTTCAAGTCCATAACAACCTCCTAACAGGCTAATTGTTCCTTCCACTCACCCACAGACCATTTCCAGATGGCATTTGGGGAAAATGCGATCTGACTCGCCGAGTCACCCAAGTGACTCGCCAAGTCCCTTTTTGTCCAAAACTACACAGTCGATTATAATGGGTCTCAATGCATCAAAACCATAGATCTGGCCTCCTAGAGTCCATTTTACACGTAAAGCTACAAAATTGATGTCCATGCATGGGGCCTTTGGCTCAAAAAGCCATAAAAATGGGTTTATATGTTGCATGGGTCTCCCAAGGCCATAAAGTTGGCACCTTTATGCCATGGGAACCCTCAATGGTTCCAGATCTGAAGTGCAACTCCACATATACATACAAATCCGAGTATAGCCTCTCAAAAGCTTAGAAAAGGTAGAAAATAGCCCCAAAACAAGATCTAGGAGATAGATGGTCAAGGTTCAAGCTTTTTACCTTGAATGAACTGAGAATGAAGCAAAACCTCTGCATATACTAGCTTCCACTTGAAATCCCAAGGTTTCTTCTTCTCTTCCAACCTCAAATGCACATAAAAGTCATCAAAAAGCTCAAGAACACTCACAAGGGGCTTAGGGTTTCGAGTTAGGGTTTCTCTGGGTTGGGAGGGACGATGGGGGCTGGGTTGAGACATAATAAGACGTTTAAATAGGGTGCAAACCCTAACATTAGGGTTTCCTCCAGACAACTCCTACTCGTCGAGTCGGTCCCCCGAATCGTCGAGTAGGTCACTAAACCTCCGGGTCCAAAGTCGAGTCTACTCGACGAGTTAGGCCTCCAACTCGCCGAGTCCCAGGGCTAAACATGAAAAATACTTGAATTAAATACGTACCATGGACCGGGTGTTTCACACATATAATTATAAGAGCATACAAATGAAATTAACTAAGAGATTCTTATGTTTGTAATCCGACCATATATTTCAAATATGTCATCAGCACTTACTTCTCATTTGGAAATCCACTAAATCGTAGTGATTTCTCAAACTCAATAGTTCAAACGATAGAACCATTATTAGTTTTTACAACTTAATCCAATATGATCTTCTAGGAAACGATCATATGATTCCAAATTTAGAATACTCATATTTCCACTCATAGTCCTTTCAACTTCATATTGAATATCTTAATATTCACCAAAACCTTTATCTTGTTTTGATGAATTCCAACCAATATTATTGGATTTAATGGAAATAGCTTCTTGGAGTATAGAAGTATCATGTGATTCTAAATTTTCAAACAAGAAATCGGTGCATATTTATATTGAAATCATAGGTCATTATGTTCTAACCGATTTTTATATTCTTTGGATCTATCTGCTTTCATTTTCCTCTTGACAGTCCATTTATAGCCTAGTGGTTTACATAATAGAGGTATATCCACTGGTTCTCATGTGTGATTTGGCAAGATAGAATCCATTTTACTTTTAATTGCCTCTTTTCATTGAGATATGTCAAAGGAAGTGAATTCATTTTTGAAAGTTTGAGGCTCTCTTTCAACCATATACATGCATAAATCATCTCCAAATGATTTCTCACTTGTCCCCTTTTACTCCATCATGATCTATTTATTCCTCAATTTCTTCTTCATGAGAGGATTCTTTGTACCCAATTGTTTTGGAGCACTTATCTTTTATTTATCAAGACATGGAAACACATTTTCAAAGTATGATGCATTTGTTGATTCCATTAGTGTACGAGAAAACAATAAACACTATTGTTTTGTGCATAACCAATAAAGATATAACCAACAATCTAGTGTCTAATCCTTACAACCATTGGGTTAGGTATAACACCCTTTGCGAGATACCCCTACATTCAAATGTATTTGTAAGATTATTTTATACCCGACCATAACTTAGATGGTATTTTTTTCATTTTCTTTTGGGGTACCTTATTTAAAAGGTAATTAGTTGACAACACAACTTCCCCCCATATTGAGTGTGGCAACCCAAAACATAAGCAACAACGTGGCATTCATCATTTCATTTAAGATTTGATGTTTCCTTTTGGTGATGTCATTTGTCATGGTGAATAAGGTGCGTTAAGCTCATGTTTAATACCATGACTTGCAAAAAATTCCTCAAATGGTGATGCATATTCACTTCCACATTCACTCTTTTTGTTGAGATGATTCTTAACCTCACTTTTGTACAATTTAAACTTGTACATCTTTACTTTTAAGTAAATTAACTTAACAAAGTTTAATGCAATCGTCAATAAAAGTGATAAAGTACTTATATCACCGTTATATGGATTCGACTTCATATCACACACATTTGTGTGAATTAATCCAAGGGGTTTAGTTGTCCTTTTAACGAACTTGAATGATTGGTGTGTTAACTTTGACTCAACACAAGTGTTGCATCCATATTTTGACTTATATGAAAGTGAGGTATGTGTTCAAGTTTGATTAACCTTCTTAACGTGTCAATATTAACATGTCCAAATCTAGCATGTCACATATTAGAAATTTAAGCAAGTAAGCGGAAGAGTTATCCAACTCATTGATATTAGGCTCATTAGCCAATGTATGGAATTTAAACATTCCACCATCCTCATAGACCATGCCTACAAACATACTTTTTTTAGGTTAGTATACACTTACTGGACTCAAACACCAAACAAAATCCATGTTTGTTCAAAAAACCATCCAAACACTAAGTTCTTTTATGGAACATACAACACATCATTAAGTGTTAGCTCTTTTCTATGTTATACAATTTCTGGAATGTTTTAAACACCAAATTTAAGTGTTTAGAATCACAATTTAAAGAATAAATTTTTGCCTCAAATTGGACAACCTTATAATTCTTGAGTCACTCCCTCTTTGAGCACACATGGCCTGTAGCACCCATATCAATTCATCACTCAATGAAGTTAGCATCCATAGAGTTTACTTTGGAAATCGTTCCACTTTGGATGGTGACATTTCTGAAATCATTTATACTCTAAATATAAATGTTTATAATTCTAATTTCCAGAAAATATGTTTGCCTCTTGCTTGGACAAAACTCAACATAATTAAAAATCTATATTAGAACAATTATGAAACTTGATTTCTGATGCAGAAATTCTAAAATTTGATTTTTCATGCAGAAAACTGATGCATAAATTATGATTTCAAAAAATATGATGTTTTCTTTCAACAAAAATATTTAAAATGTGATGTTTTTAAGTAAAACCAAGTTGTTTTCTGATTTCTAAAGCTGTTTTACATAAAATTAAAGTCGTTTTGACTAAACAAAGCCTTTTTGTTTTTCACAAAACAATACAGTCTGTTCAAGACTGCTTTAGCCCCACTTAAACCTGTCAAAAATGCAATCTAAGTACATAATCCAGTAGCCCTGTCTCTTAGCTATCCGGAGACTACTTTCACAAGTTCATACAATTTTTCTACAATTTATTATGAATTTTCCAAAACTATGTATCATAGCTGCTAAAAACCTAACCAGTGAAAATCATATTTTTCACCCTAGTTAGAGTTGTTTCCAGCTTTCGGCCAAAATTAATGAAATGAAGTAGACTCATATAAAAAACTTTGAGAATTGGTTTCAACAGAAATTGAGCATCCATGACAAAGTTATGATTTTTCAAAGATTGTGACAGATTAGAGCATTTCACATCAACTCGTAAATTGTGTTTTTAAGTTAAGCTAGCTTCTTAACCCATTAGGTACTTAATGAAATCAGTATCGAAGCTGGAAAATTTGATCCTTAATAAAAAAAACATGTCTTAATGAATAATGACCAAAGGTGCTTCAAAATCACAAAAAAAATCCATTTTTTCCTATGAAAATCGTACAATATCAAAATAATATAAGTAAAATTGTTTCCAATTTCTACTTCGATTCGTACAAACGAATTCGTTTTAAGATTGTAAGAATAATATTCCGGTAATGTACGAAAACAAACAAGAAAATAGAAAAACTGAGACATGTGTTTAACACATTGTCCTTAAAACAAATTTGTCCGCTACCGAGTGTTTGTTTCCCAGGATACAACAATTTGAAGTGGTTCTTCTAGACCACCCAAACCCTCTATAGGCCTGAATTATATCCTCAATATAGCTAGAAAAAAGAAGATGAAGTGGGGAAGAAAATAGTTTCTTTCATTCTTTTGGTGTCTTCAAATAGTTGTAGAGTAGTGGTATTTATACTACATATTTTATAACCTCCCATTTAAACACTTCTATTAATCTTTTGTAATTAAATTGTAATATTAATTACAATTTCAGTTACGAAAGAAAGAAATATTTGCAAGAAAGATCCCTGAACATTTATTTTCTTTCTCCCACTCATTAAACTCTTTTATTTATGTCTTCCAACACCCTTACTTTAAAGATTAATTTCTCATTCATATTAAATCTATTTTGAACGTGTTAAAAAATGAAGAAACCTCATTTTTATAAATTGATTAACACCAATTTTCTAACGGTTAATTTGTGAATTAAATTACATTAAAATAACGAGATAACAATAAAATCATCAACAAATCAATAAAATCATCAACAAATTAGACTATCATCTTACCCGGACCAGTAAAAACATATCAAAACAATCCATTAAATTTTATTATTTACGGTTTATTTGTTTGAAAAATATACAGAGTCAAAGCTTTTCAGCGAGAAAAATGTGAAGGTAGTCTTATAGAGCGCCAGGGACGTGATTAAATTTCAACTGCAGAGAATAAGAAAAAAAAGAGTCAATGGCTGCCGGACCATCATACGGGTCTTTTACGTTTCTAAAAGGTACAACATTTTCTGCGAAATTACGTCTTCATTATCGAGGAATCGTGCATTTCCACCTCCGATTTGACATCACGTGGACCCTAAATCTTTATTGAAAATTTAATATCACGCTGTTTGACTATGAAAATTCTACAAGAAATTAAGTGCTTTGGACTGCATGTCTGTAACTATACACTGGAAACATTCCAGCTTCTCAAATTCTCTCTAAATTTTCAAGATCTCTAACCATCTTATTTCCTACCGGTATGGATACTGGATCTTCCTCGTCCTTAGAGTTGCCACAGCAGTTCCGTCAGTTTACACTTTCTGAGATTCACTCAGCAACCCAAAACTTTGATGAGTCATTGGTAATCGGGCGAGGGGGTTTTGGCATGGTTTACAAAGGAACCATCGCTAATGGATCAACTCATTTGGTTGTCGCTATTAAGCGCCTGGATTCAACCTCTAATCAAGGAGCAGTTGAGTTCAGGGCTGAAGTTGAGATGCTTTCTAAGTTAAGGCACTGTCACTTAGTGTCTTTGATTGGTTACTGCAATGATGGGCAAGAGATGATTCTTGTTTACGAATATATGTCCCATGGAACCCTTGCAGACCATCTTCACAAATTCCAGAGTCCTTTACCTTGGGTCAGACGACTCAAAATATGTTTAGGGGCCGCCCGCGGGTTAGATCACCTTCACACTGGTGCGGGTATTAAGCATGGAGTTATACATCGTGATGTTAAGAGCTCAAATATATTGTTAGATGACAGCTGGGCGGCTAAGATTTCAGATTTTGGGTTGTCAAAACTTGGTCCAATTAATCAACCGTCCACTTATGTCAACACTTTTGTGAAAGGCACTTTTGGATACCTGGATCCAGTCTACTTTGCAACGGGCAGACTGACGAGAAAGTCTGATGTGTATGCGTTTGGGGTAGTATTATTTGAAGTCTTGAGTGGAAAACAAGCGGTTGATAGTAGTCTTGATGAGGAGCATTGGGGTTTAGTAAATTGGGCCCAAGAGGCTCTGAAAGGAGGTAGGCTAAAGCAAATTGTTGATCATACCATAACAGACAGAATCTTGCCTAAATGTTTGAGGGAGTTTGCACGGCTTGCAGATAGGTGTTTGTGTAGCAATCCGAAGCAAAGGCCTACAATGGCCGAAGTTGTGGTCTGTCTTGAGTCTGTATTAACCTTACAGGAGAAAGCTAATTACACATTGCACCCTCCAGGCATGAAAATATTTGGTAATAAGGTGCCAATGTTTCTATCTTCATTCAGTGGGGATAATTCAGGTAATTTGTTTTGTCCTGGTTTCTTTGTTTGTTCTCATGCGTAGGCACACAAACTGATTTACCTGTGGATGTTTGCATGTATACACCTATTGCAAGAACATATTTATTATCAATTTGTTTTGGTGAGTAGGTGAGCATATACAAGTCTGATAACTTTGCAGTTGAACATAAGATATTCCTTCATTGAGGATCAACAATACATTATGATTTACATATCTGCCCCAAATGGTTATTGCAAAACCTAGTGAAACTGAGGTAGATTACGTAATTGAATAAAAAAAATTGTCACCATTAATCCCAAATGACATCCCATTGAAATAAGGAGATGATCAATTTTGGTATTTTGGCCTGGTTTTGCGTGCCAACTGAGGACAAAAACTGTCTTTTGTTCCACAGGGCAGCTCTTTTCTGCTCTATCTCATCGTACATTTTCTTCTTGCATAGTAATTTATTCGGTTGATATTCCGTTGGCGATTTATAGTTATACTGGTTTGCATGTCAAAGTTTTGTTCCAGCTTCTTCAGTTTTCTTGCTTCCTCTGTTTTAATTTCAAATGAATCAAGATTAAATGACTTGGTGCTGCCATGTGCCTTTACATATTTCATAAATAACTTCCTTACCTTACATGGTTGATAACATAGCAATCTTCATGGTTAGGGAATAAGGGTGTTTTGTGTTTTGATCTCATATTCAATCTGGCTTGATACTTTTATTGGTATTTCTAGAAGAAATCTTTTTTGTGTCTGTGGGGATAGAGGTTATGCTTGTTTTCTTCTCTGTTGTGATGACTTCAAGAGTGCAATTTAACGGATTAATATTTTCTTTTCATCCATCCTTGTAATTTTTTCATTAATTTCCATGGGTCTCATTGTCCTTGTTCACTGTTTCTATATTCCTCTTTTTTGGGTGGCCTTTTTTAATCTGAACTTCTTTCCATCCACAGTTTATTTTAATATTAAGATGATATTTTTTTAGTATTAATTTCTAATTCTCCTGTATTGGAATGACTTACCAACCCTTCTCTCACCTTTGACTGATCCAGGGGCGAGGAAGCTTAGGTTTCCCTAGGCTTACAAAACCCTTATTTCTTTTTACCCATTACACAGTCACGTACTCCCTCATCATTGGTGTCATGAGGAAGTTAAATAACGCTTTATTTTACAATTAGTGAATGCCATCGACCTTTTGTTGGTAGTTGGTTACAGGAGCAAATGCCTTTTTATGAAGTATAGGGAACAAAATCCACAACAGATAGGATGGAAATAAATTTTGGGACTCTATTTAGATGCAACTTTCTTTTGGTTCGAGCTTTGGGAATGCTGCATGTTATTGCATTAGATATGCTTGTATTTCTTACTTTCAAATTCATATGGCTCATTTGTTTACAAAACTCAGAACAAATACCTGTTCTATTGAATGATATATTCTATGATATCATACAATCCTCTACTTTCTTGCTCGTTTCTAACAGAATTTTATTTGAAGTTGGGAGTAAAAGATCTTTGGAGTTATACTTTGATACTATTGGAGGTGAAGACAGAATATTACGCAGGTTTGAGTTCCAGACTATCGTTGTCGCAACTGAGAATTTTTCTGAGACTAATCTAATTTCACCATTGTTATCTGGTGTCTACATTTACAAGGTATACGTATTCATGTATCTTATCTAATTACATTATTTTAAGGTTTCCAAGGACTGCTTAAAGCTCCAACTTAGTTTCTCTTTTCAGGGTAGGCTACAAAATGGACAAGGAGTATCAATTGCCAGACATAGTTCTGGATCCAGATCTGAATATTATAAAAATGAAGTGGCGTTGCTGGTAAAACTTGAGCATGAGAATTTGCTTAAGTTGGTTGGATATTCCATCGAAGAAACAGAAGTATTCCTTGTCTATGAGTTTGCAGTCTATGCACGTCTAGATCGCTTGATAGATGGTACGCTTCTTATTTTTGAAACATGGAAACTCGTGATGGAGTTTAAGAGCAAGTACTCACTACCTATTAACCCTATTAACCTTAATTTTTTCTAAAACTTCATACTCGGAGTGAAATATTTTCTAGATATGTCTTTTTAGATCATGAATGTACTCTATTGGACTGGAATAAGCGCAACAAAATAATACTAGGTGTTGCTAGGGCACTTCTGTACCTTCACCAGCATGGTTCCTTTCGGATCATACACAATCATGTCTATCCTAAAAACATTCTTTTAGATGAAAGTTTGGACCCCAAACTGTCATCTTTTGGGTTTGCAAGATGTTTATCAATAAACGGGGCTGATTGCATCGAAGAGGAGAACATACATGGATCTATGTAAGTACATACGCATTTATCTAGAAACATTCATTCTTGATCTCATGCTCTCGTCTTGAACTCTTCATATGTCTTGTTTCTTAGTGATCCCATCGGATCCAACAAAAAGGAACTGCTTTTTGGGATCGTGGTACGGACCACAATGGTCCTTGAATTTTCTAAGAATATATGATTCAAAACCCACTTTCTTCTTGTTTTCGCACAATAAAGGTTGCGAAAGCAATTTGCTTCTTGGTTGGTTCCATTTGGGAACGGTTGCATGGAAGTGTTTAAACCTAATATGTCACAGTTGTTGTGAAGCCCAGATGACCACATGGGTCACTCAGTATTACTAAAGCTAAAGCTTTGGAGATGCCTTGATTCGTCATATATTCTTCGACAACTGAAAATGAAATTTTCACTCGGTTCCGGTTAAGTGCGCAAATATTTTTAACTCGAAACGTAGTTGAATGGAAGAAATTATAAGAAAAATATATCTAAAATATCCCTAGGTAATTATGAACTCTGGAAAATATTGTCAAACCGTTTACAGTTTGGACTGATATAGTCTTAGTTGGCAAAAAGGTAATCTCCAACTGAAACTTCCCCACGATGGTAATATATTGCATTTGCTATAGGACAGCCAGATAGAGATGTTGCATTTATTTTGGGGTAGAGAGTCTCTATTTTTGGGGCAATCAACTCCTTATAGTTTCAGGAGAAACGAAATTCCAACTAGTAATAAAAGTGACTTAGGTTAAAACTTAAAATCCATAAGGTCTTAGTATACTTGAAAGAAAATTGCATCTGATATAAGACTTTCCTAGATACATGTATGTTTTCCTTGTATTTTTTCTACTCAAAGCTACCATAATTTGTAGTAATGGTCCAAGCTAATACCTGCTATGTGTGACAGGGTATTTATTGCACCAGAAGTACATCAGACTTTACTTCTGTCAACTAAGGCTGATGTGTATTGTTTTGGTGCTTTGATCTCAGAAACTATATCTGGGTGTACAAGACACAATTACATGGTCAACCACACAGACAACGATACCCTTACACATTCTGTAAGTATGATTATGGATGGTCAGATTCTATCATGTTAGACTTATGCTTTTAGTATGTCGGTCAGGTTTTTCGGGTATCAGTTATTTTCGACAGGCCTAATTCACACCCTAAATATTCCAAAATACATATATTGATGTTTTAAGATTGACCCACTCATCTAATTTGGCATGGATTTTCATACCAATTTATCATCAACCGTTTTGAACTTCTGCCTGCTTGTAACTTGCTTTTTAATGTGATTACCAATTTCTGAGTCTCTGACAAAAAGTTTAAATCATAGAAAAGCAATAGGGTATTCATTTTCCTTAAATTTTGTGGGTCAAAATTATGTGGTGAGAGATAAATGTTATATGTTGTGTGTCTTATGTACTTCTTTAAAGCGAAATTCAAACGACCTACACGTAATGAATGAGTAATAAAGGACAACTGATCAAAATACACGGCAATCGTATGCATATAGAAAATGTCAAGATGTACATCTTCTTGGTGCAATGGTGGTAATATAACTATGGGCATGTGGAATTGTTGTAGGTGTGGACTAATTGGGTGAAAGGAACATCTTCAAATATAATTGATCCTAGAATCCATGCCCATTCAAGCTCCATTACAAGAGTCATCCACATTGGGCTGTTGTGTGTTCAAGTAGATCCAGCTGATAGACCAACAATGGAGGAAGTTGTTGGCATGCTGACTAGCAATTCATCTCTCCCTCTCCCTTTACAAAAAAAATCTTTGTCACCATGGATAAGAGAAAAGTCTTCAGATGTCCCAAAAATATTACTGTCCGATGACTACGATTCTGGGGCAGTTGAGGACTTCCTATCAGAGCTATGCCCTCGATAGTGTTTTGCAGGAATTTATATAACTTTCAAATTCCCTTATTAAAACCAGTGGTAGAACTTTTCTTTAAGAAGTCAATAGATGCTCAAGAGTCAAGATCAAAGAAACCAGATCTTGTACTATAAGTCTCTTATTATTATTTTTTTTGTAGGTTAAGCAAAAGCCCATTTGTGATAATATCTTGAGTTGTTATAATGCTGAAATTTCTTAAAACACAATTGAAATATGTATTAAAACAATGATCATCCAAGTAGGTTCATACTTCATAGATGTCAAGAGAAGGTGGATTTAGGGGATTAGGTTAAAACTGCTTGAATTTCAGGAGCATAGAGTAGAAGGGTGTAATAGAAGTTAATATTGTTGAAGAACTAAAAAAAACTATAATTATGATTATATAAGAAGATAGCATACTGAAGGTTAAAAGGCAACACCATCATCATAGCAAAACCTAGTCACACTAACTTCATTTCATTTGTTTGGATGAAGAATTACAGAGGCCACACTACTACAAAAAAGAGCATTACCAACGGCCAAACCGTTGGTAATTCATTGCTAAGAGGTTTTACCAACGGAATTGCAACAGATCAATATATGCCGGTATATTCCGGTCAATAATTTTTTTGTGACGAATTTCTGACTGTTACCGCAAATTTTAGTGACAGGTTTTGCCGTCGGTAATTAGTAAAGGATTACCGATGGATATGTTTTTGCAGCGGATTACCGACATAATGTGTTTGCAAGTGATTACCGACGGAACTGGTTTGCAACGGATTAGCGATGGAATACCTATGTAACGGATTATCGATGAAACATTTGTGACAGATTACCAATGGATTTTAGCACTATAACTTTTTTTTTTTTTAAATTCATGAAAAATCCAAAAAATATTTATATATTCAAAACAACAAATTCTTAAAACATATATAAAAAAAATTGAAAGTACAATGCTATAATTAGATAGATTATACAGAGTGCAATGCCTTAATAAAATAATATTTGAAAGTAGAATGTTTTAATATGAAAAAAAAGTAAACTCAATATTTAGTGACAATTAGCTTCTTAGCCCTCTCTTTTCTTTCGGTTATCAGAACCCTGTAAAACAAATCAAATTTAGTTAGAGCTTCCAAAAAGGTATAACTTTTGGAGCACTCTTTTATAAAAATATAATTAAAAATTGGTTGTATGATGATAACTAAAATTATATGATTTTTATTTTCTGAAAAAAAAAATCACCAATCTGACAAAAATATCATCATTTGTTTTCTTGTTGGAAAGTTGATGCATGGATGCAAGCTCTTTGTCCACTTCCACTTTCCTTTCTACAATTTTTAGTGTCTGTTATGTCATAAATTGTGGTTTATACTTTACTTTTCATAAGATATTAGAGTTCTCGGTCTAGGACCTTAAACACCATGTTTTGGTGTTGTTTGAACCAAAATCACATGTGATTTTGGTTAGGCTTAATGTTGTTTTGTTTGGGTTTTGGGCTTGGGCTCTGTTATTAGGTCTAGGTATAAATAGTGTCATTTGAGCCTTGTAATTAGTGTGTGACGTTTTTGGAGGCTGCGATATGCTTAAAACGTGATTTGGAGAGAAAACAAGAGAAAACCAAGTGTAATCAAGAATCTTATGTACTCGACTATTCAATAATAGTGTGCATTGAAGATTAACCATTGTGTTCTTATTCTATATTTCGTCTTGTCTAATTCACTTGATTGGGATTCCGCACCATCAAGTGAATCCGATTGATACATCATAGCATTTTGGGGTCTTACAATTGGTATCAGAGTTTGGATCGGTATCAATCGAAATGGCAATATTTTAAGAGTTTCTTGGAGTTTTTTCTTGGATTTCCGGGTGTTTTTGAATTGTTTTGGATGAATTTTTGGCTGTTTGTTCTTCGCGTTCTTCATATTTTTGGAGTTTTGATCGAATTTGGTCTTAAAATTAGAAAATTTTGTGTTTTTGGCAAGTTTTGAGTGATTTTTTGGTCAAAATCTCGGAAGCCAGCCTCGTATTTGGTCATTTACCTCGTATTTGGTCATTTACCCTCGGAAATCTCGGCGGCGGCTTCGCTCTCGGATTAGGTCAGCAGCAGTTTTCGGTGCGAGGTTCTCGGCTTTGGAAGTTCTCGGTTCGCATGTTTTCGGTCTGAATTCTCGGTTCGCACGTTTTCGGCTTCGCAGGTTCTCGGTGGACGTCTCAGCCTCGCAATTTCGGTCAGCAGTTCTCGGTCCGAGATTTCGGCCTCGCAATTTCGGCTGAAATTTCGGATTTTCAAGATTTTGGCTTATTTTCAGCCCAAAAGCCACATTTTCGATCCAATAACCTTGTTTTCGGTCCTAAAGCTTCGCGTTTGGTCAAAAAGGCACGTATTCGGTCAAATACTCTCGTTTTTTTTGTCTTGAAATTTCGTTTCGGTCTAGAAATTTTAGTTTTCGGTCAAGGTTTTTTTTTTTTGGAAAAAAAGTTTGACTTTTCAAATTTGACTTTCAAGTTTGACTTTAAGTTTGACTTTCAAGTTTGACTTTCAAGTTTGATTTTTCAAGTTTGACTTTCAAGCTTGACATTCGACGTTTCAAGTCAAAGGGCATTTTTTAGGGGTGGCAACTCTCGACCCAACCCGTAACCCGACACGAACCCGACACGAAAATAAGCGGGTTAGGGTTGAGATTTCTGACCCGCCAACCCGCCAACCCGTTTATTTAATGGGTTGGGTTGGGTTACCTGTTTGGGTTCACGGGTCAACCCGCCAACCCGCCTAATATATTTAATTATCTATTTATTTTAATTTTTTAACAATCTAAGATCATATTATACTATTATTTTCTATTTACCATATCCTTAACATTTAATTTGGTATTCGTTCGTATCATCAGCCATATAGTCGTATGTTTGGGCAATGTGGCATTGTGGGCTTGTGGCTCATGATCCAGTCATCCATCCTTGACTCCTTGAGTCCTTGTGCAGCCATCCATTGCGTGCCCTAATAATAAAAAAACGCCACGAACTCACGATTCAATCACTCATCCAGTCTCCACATTCACGAACGATTGAACGAAGGATAAGGATTTAAGGACTGATCTTCAAAGGAAGAAACATCACGAACTCACGATTCAATCACTCATCGGGCCGCTCCTCACCCGCTCAACGCCGTTCGCACTCGCTCTTGAGTCTTGTCAGCTTTGACGTTCGACCCACCTTACTTTCTCTCTACGGTAAGTAACAATCTACATTATACACTCTATAGATTAGTAAATTGCGGAATTACCACCAGATATAATTCCAATTTGAAATTTCTTCCACATTTGGATTTTGGAGTACATATCGGCTAAAGCAAAATATAATTCTGATTTGAATGTTACCACTATCTCTCATTATATCGACTCCAGGAAGATATAATTCTTCCACATTGTGTATCTTTTACCCACTATGTTAAATGAAAATATAAATCTGAGTAGTGATTGATTCCTTAAATCGAGTAGTGATATTGATTCTTGATTTTGACTTGTTTTACCCACTATTTTATAATTTTCATTTTGAATTCTTTACTGAAAATATGATTTTGAACCTATTTTACACTAATGATATATTGTTTGTGTAGTGTTAAACTGATTTTGACTTGTTAAACTGATTTTGAACCTGTTTTACACTAATTTTGACTTGTTTTACCCACTATTTTATAATCAGTAGTGCTTCTTTTTCTGTTAAACAGTAACGTTAAATTGTTAATCATTAATTGTTTGTGTAGGTCGATATGGAAGATGTTATTGTTGACAATCATGTTGAGGTTGACAATGAACAAAGTGAAAGTGATGATTCAACTGAAGAAGTTGAAGCACCAAATGAATCACAAGGAGTTGAGAGTACTTCTTCAAAGAAAAGGAAAACAAGGACATCAACTTCAGATGTTTGGAAAAGCTTTACTAAATTACCAAGAAAAACACCAAATGAAGCCATATATTGTGTGTGCAACAAATGTGGTCAAAAATATAAAGCAGGAAGTGAAAGCGGTACCGGTAATCTACGTCGCCATCGAAGGAGATGTGAAGAAAATAATACTAGAGACATTGGTCAATATATGATTTCCGAAAGCAAAGGTGTAATGGATTTGAGAAATCCAAAGTTTAGTCAAGAAAGACTAAGGGAATTGTTGATTGAAGCTGTTATTTGACATGATTTGCCATTCTCCTTTGTTGAGTATGAAGGAATTAGAAATATTTGCAAATATTTGGAACCAAATTCCAGACATTAAAAAGTTACATGCAATTCATTGTGTTAGACTTCGTGGCGAGTTGCTTAAATGCCCAAGTAGAATATGCTTAACTTCTGATGCTTGGACATCAATTGTTACAGATCGTTATTTGAGTTTGACTGCCCATTATGTTGATAGCAAGTGGGTCTTACAGAAGAGGATTTTAATTTTTTCTGAATTCCCTCCTCCACATACTGGTGTTGCTATTGTTGAAAAGCTTAGTGGCTTGATCAAAAGTTGGGGAATTGAAAGGAAGTTGTTTTCTGTCACTTTGGATAATGCTTCCTCTAATGATGTTTGTGTTGGATTGCTTAAGAATTAATTTCGTTTGATGAAATCTTTAGTATATGATGGTAAGTTGTTTCATCTGAGATGTTGTGCCCATATTCTCAATTTGATTGTTCAAGATGGGTTGAAACAAATCGATGTTGCTGTGGAAAAAGTTAGAGAATGTGTGAAGTATGTCAAAGGATCTTCAGCAAGAAAAACAAGGTTTTCTCAATGTTTGTCACAAAATCTTTTGGACTCCAAAAAGGCTTTGATGCAAGATGTTACTACTAGGTGGAATTCTACATATATGATGCTTTCTTGTGCACTTTATTATCGACTAGCCTTTTCGCATCTTAGTTTGAGTGATTCTAACTTTCAAGATTGCCCGTCCTCTAATGAATGGGAAAGAGTTGAGAAAATATGTAGCTTTATGAAAGTGTTTTATGATGCAACTCTTCAGTTTTCAGGATCACTTTATCCTACTTCAAATTTGTATTTCCCTCAAATATTTGGAATACATTTGAAGTTGGTTGAAGAGAAGAAAAGTCCCGATGAGTATATGACAAAAATAGCTACCCAAATGTGGAATAAGTTCAACAAATATTGGGCTGATTTTAATGTTCTGTTAGCTATTGTTGTGGTGTTTGATCCTAGATATAAGTTGTCGTTTATTGACTTTTGCTATAAAAAACTCTATGGAGAAGGTTCATTACAATTTAAGGCTATTGAGAGTGCCCTTTATGAACTTTATGACGAATATGTGCAAGCTTCAAAAAATGCAACAACATACGACTCGACATCACATCAAGGGAGCAACGACAACATTAGACAAAGTAATGTTGGGGGAGAGTCTAGTCAAAACAAAATTCTTGAGGTAAATCATATTTTCTAATTACTATTAAATTTGCTTTTATAGTTTTTTAGTTTTTAAATATACTAAATTACTAATTCATTTTTTATATATATTATTTTTTATTATAGGAGTTTGACGAATATGATAATGATGATTCGGGTTGTCAATTGCATGTATACCTTCTTGAGCCAAGAGCTAAAAGAACTTCTTCCATTAACATGCTTGAGTTTTGGAAAGCCCAACAATATAGGTACCCTGAATTAACTAAATTAGCTATGGATACACTTTGTGTTCCCGTTTCAACAGTAGCATCGAAATCGGCTTTTAGTCTTGGTGGAAGAATTTTGAATGAATATCGAAGTTCCATGAAGCCCGATGTGGTTGAAGCTTTGGTTTGTAGTCGGGATTGGTTGTTTGGAGAAAAAGGTAATATTTCATAATTTTTGGTTTTTTCGTATTATCTAAAATTTTGTATTATTTTTTTTTTCTTTTCCTTATGCAGTTGATTTGAATGTGGCTATTGACAACCTAACTCAAAATGTAATGAATTTGAACATCAATGAAGACAATACGGAGGTTACAAATTCGAACATACTTTAAGGTGTCATTTGGTGAGTTCTTTTTAGTACAAATATTTATGTAGCTTTCAAAAGATCATAAATTTGATTTTTCATATTGTTTCTATTTGAAGGTTATCTTGAAGAAGTTGGTGTTGGAGGAAGAAATGGGAATTGTAGCATGAATGAATTATCACATTTGTTTTTGGATATGTTTGAACAATTTCACTTTTCATGAATGTTTTGATTTTTGGAGTTTTATTTGGATGTTTATGACTTTATGTTTAATGTTTATTTTGGATGTTTATGACTTTATGTTTAATGTTTATGACTTTTAGACTTCATTTTATTTGGATTTTTCAATTTCATCTTAAAATGTGTTGCTTATTAAATGGATTATACGGGTTGGGTTCGACCCACTGTGTGACATCCCCAAATTCACGGCCAGAAAAGACCGGTTTAATCTATGCTTTTGAAATAATTTCAGAGTAATCATTTGATTAAAATTGTTGCGGAATTTGTTCCCAGAAAAACATAACAAATATGTTATCAAATCATTTCCGAAGAAAATGTATTTTATTCACTTAAACCATTGGGATGTCATTGTCAATACAAAAACATAAGCATAAACAAAACTTACATTCATTTACACTAGTGATCTACTTCTCTTTTAATCTCTCAGTGTAAAGCAACTTCGTATCGATATCTGTGATACAATTAAACTGAGTGGGTCAGGCTTGGGGGCCTGGTGAGCATATAGGGTTTTCAACCCACAATAAATAATAAACTTATTAAGTTCTCAATCAACAATAAATTTATTAATTCCATCAACCAAAATAACCCTAATTACCCATTCCCATTATCCTTACTTTACGTCCCTAAAACAACTATCATAAGGGACCTAGCCTAAGGATTATCACTAGGGGTGACAACATTGCTTTGGGGGTTCCTCAGCAAGTTATGTCAAATAAAACAAACATCGGGGTGACAACATTGCTTTTCCTCAGCAAGTTATGTCAAACAAGACATCCTAACATAAAAACAACCAACAAGGTGACAACATTGCTTTCCTTCAGCAATTTATGTCAAATAGGCACGAATTCACATCGTCGCCATGTGCTAGTCCATAGCTCTTATTCATCGACGGTATTTCCCACGGGAGTTTCCCCCCGCAATACATGTCAATGGGTTTTCCATACAGCTGATGAACATACTTAAGGGGTTTCCCCAGCCTTACATGCCCTAAAGGCACTCATGAGGGGAATAGAGTACAACGAATGAACACTTAAGTCCATTAACACCTACAGGTTACGAGTCTGCTAGTGTTCCACAGACCGTCAAAACAGTCCATGGTTGTCATCCATACTCTGCTGAATGACGGGGGTCTTAGAGTACAGCGAATGAACACTCGAGTCCATTAACACATACAGGTTGCGAGCCTGCTAGTGTTCCGCAGACCGTCTAGAACAGTCCATGGTTGTCATCCCTACTCTGCTGAATGACGGGGGTCAACGTTGGGTAAGGGTTTTTCTCATATTGCACCACTCACGCCAACATTTGGGTAAAAGCTTTTCCCATATTTCACCACTCAGTCTCAACTCATGATCTATATCACTGATCATCTCATCTATCCAACTCACCTTTCATCACACACCCACTATTTAACTCATGATCTATATCACTAACTCATGAAGCTAGTCCGATCACTTCATAAAAGAACAAAGACTCCCAAGCTCTTCCAAATAAAAGTATAGGGAAAATACTGATAAAGTACTCCCGTACGCTCCCGTACGCTCCCGTACCCCGACACGTAATAGTGTCAAAAGGAAGGACTAATGGATGAACACATAGTTCAAAAACACCTAATGAACATATAGTTCAAGAACACTTTATGAACATATAGTTCAAACATACGTACCGATTACAAGTCTACTAACGTTCCACTGGACTATCTAAAATAGTCTGTGGCCGTTGTCTATACTCTGCTAGATGACTAGATCATCTTAAACATCGATACCTCTTATCACTTTTATTTCATCACACATCATCTAATTCATCTACCCATGTTTTACCCAACATATTTGTAGATAAAAAAAAATATATATATACAGTTTAAAACTTGTATAAAACATCAATTCAACAGTCACCTCAAATAAACAATTAATATATTTACACATAACACGTATTTTAAGGTAAATACTTCATATCTATGTGTAAGGTGAAAGTGACTATACACTCACCCGATTTAATGAAAATCGGGCAGCAATTCGTTTCCTAAAACAATCGTTTCTAATAAAACCGGGAGTTTTATTGAGAAACCGGGCTCTGCGAAAGGTCGGGCTTCAAAACCGAAAAGATAAATTTTTCGGGCCTTCGGGCACTCCGGGACGTGTTCCGGGCGTTGGAAATGATCTCGGGGCATCGGGGGAAGTCAAAATAGCTAAAATATTGAAAATGGGTGAAAAAATGACAAATTTGGAATTTCCCCCCGAAGATCTCGCATGGCTTCTATTTATAGGGGTGAGCTTGCGAGGGTTCGGCCGAGAAGGAGGAGTCAGCGAAGGCAGGTGGCATCCGCGGAGCGAGGCCAGGTGGCGGGTGCGAGCTTCGGACACGCGAAGGGCACGCGGCGCCTTCGGATTGGGCCAACGAAGCTCGGATGATGAGTCACGTGGACGGGCTATGCATGCGAGGATCACGTGGCCAGCGAAGCTCGGATGATGAGTCACGTGGACAGGCGCATCGGAAGATCATTGGACCGCACCCTCGGTCAAATCAGCAAGCGACACGCGTGTTGTGCACGGGCTATGCATGCGAGGATCACATGGCCAACACCATTCCTTGCGAATTTTCTCGAAAATTGTGCCCATTCTTGTAAAATCCATAACTTTCTCATACGGGCTCCGTTTTTGACGTTCTTTATATGCACGTGTAGGTAAAATTACGCTCTACAACTTTCGTTTAGACTTCGTCGGCTAATTTTGACTTTAATTTTTAAATTATTATTTTTAACAGACCGGGACAGAAAATCCATTAAAAATTCATAACTTCTTCATCCGACGTCCGTTTTCGTCAGACTTTTTACCGTTGTGCTACTAATGACGAGACCTTCGATTCTCGTTTAGGTCATGTCTGCTAAAAATCTCTCGATCTAAAATTCGAGTTTTTAGCTGTCTACTGCTAAGCTGAAACTTCGAAAAATCATAACTTCCTCATACGAAGTCAGATTTATGCGTTCTTTTTATACCTACTCTCGGTTTAACGAACACTACGAGTTTCGTTTAGATCTCTAAGGTCAAAAAGTAGTTTATCGAAAACTCACTTTTTACGACATTCGGCCCCGTGCTGGTTTGTCGCGAAACTTCGACAGGTCATAACTTCTTTGTTATAACTCGTATTTCGGCATTCTTTATATATCCGTAATCCTTGTCACGCCCACTACAAGTTTCTTAATAGATATCGGCTTTATCTAAAATTTAATTTTGACGCTCATTTTTATTCTTAATTAATTAAACCCTAATAATTAAGCATAAAACACATAATTCACATAATATTCACATAATTCCTTTTCATTTCTTCTAAATGAGTTACAAAGGTTAACCTAGACCATTATGTCAATATTAATGTCTAGCCTAGAAACACGGGCGTTACAACTCTCTCCCCCTTAGAATGATTCCGTCCCCGGAATCACACATCAGCAAACAAATACGGGTAGCGACTCCTCATGTCACTCTCCATTTCCCAGGTGAGATTTGGCCCATTCGTATGTTTCTAACACATAAGCACTAATTCGACCATTTTACGTCACAACTTCCTAGTCTTATGGTCAACGATTGCCTCAGGTTCTTTAATCAACCTCTCGTTTTCATCCAACCTTAATTTAGAAATGGGAATTATGTCGGTCACATCTCCCGTAAATTTTCTCAAATAACACACATAAAAGGTATTATGAATACCCTCCAGTTCTTCCGGTAATTCTAGCTCGTAAGCTTGATTCCCGATCCTATGAAGAACTTTAAATGGTCCAATAAACCTTGGACTCAACTTTCCCCTTCTACCAAATCCTATAAGTCCCTTCCACGGCGAGACTTTAAGTAAAACCGAATCTCCAACTTTGAATGATATCATTATCTTTTCTTGTCAGCATAGCTCTCTTGAGCAGCTAACATCCTTTCCCTAATCACTTTCAACTTTTCAGCAGTCTGATGGACTATTTCAAGTCCCATAAACTGCTTTTCCTAGCTTCCAGTCAACATGACAGCATTCGACACTTTTCCCGATACAAAACATGATAAGGTGCCATCTTGATGCTTGAGTGGAAACTATTACTATAGGAAAACTCTACTAGAGGTAAGTGTTTACCCCAGTTACCTTGGAATTCCAGGGTACATGCTCTCAACATATCCTCCAATGTTTGAATTGTTCGTTCGCTCTTACCATCGGTTTGTGGATGGTAAACTGTATTCAAACACAACTTGGTACCCAATTCCTCCCTATAGACTCCTCCAAAACCTTGAGGTAAAACGGCTGTCACGATCGGATACAATCGTTAACGAACACCGTGAAGCCTCACACTTTCCTTCACATAAGAATTCGCAAGTTTATCCATAGACCATTTCTCGTTGGCTGCTATGAAATACGCACTCTTAGTGAAGCGATCAACGACCACCCAAATCATGTCGTGACCGTTCCTTGTTCTGGGCAGTTTAGTCACAAAATCCATAGTGATACCTTCCCATTTACCCATGGGTATAGGTAAAGGATCTAAACTCCCATACGGTTTCTGAGGTTGTGCCTTAACCCTAGCACAAGTTACACACTCAGCCACATACTTAGCAACATCGAGCTTCACCATCGACCACCAGTAATAGGGTTTTAGATCCCTATACATTTTCGCACTGCCGTGATGAATCGAGTACATGGTTTTGTGAGCTTCTTCCATCAGAAAACCTCTTACTCCTCCCATCCTAGGTACCCAAATCCTACCTTTGAATACCTTCAGTCTTTGACCGTTCGTATCAAACACCAACGTTTTATCCCAAACGTTCCTCCTTTCAGTCATTTTTTTTTCTCTAAAGCTTCCTCTTGAGCTTTCTTTATACTTTCCATAATTGTAGAGACAACTTCAATTCTCAACGCTCTTGGCCTCTTCCTTTCAAGATTCACCTTCCGACTGAGAGCATTAGCAACAACATTTGCTTTACCAGGATGGTAAAGTATCTCACAGTCATAGTCCTTGAGTAACTCTAGACAGCGCCGTTGCCTCATGTTCAATTTATTCTGATTAAAGAGATATTAAAGACTCTTATAATCAGTGAAAAGTTTTCATTTAGTACCATAAAGA